GGGGGGGGGGGGGGCCGCTCACCATGGCGAAGCCCGAGAGCAGCGCGGAGGTGCGGCTGGACGCCTTGAGCTTGGCCCGGCTGAGGTAGAGCTTCCGCCAGGACAGCGCCTGCATCGAGTGCTCGTTCAGGCTCATGGGCCCTCCGGCAGTGCCGGCTGCACCGGCCGGACTCGGGGCAGCGGCAACGGCGACGATAACAGCTACCGCGTCATGGCGGCGCCCGGCCCGGCTCTTCTGGCAGCCGGGAGGCCCCGCCCCGCGCATGCGCACCCGCAGCCCTTGCCCCGCCCCCCGGGCTGTGCTGAGGCGGCTCGGCCGTGTCCCCTCCCTCCGCGGTGTGAGGGCTAGTCTCCTCGGGCACGGCGTCTCAGTGGTCCACGTCCCCAGCACCGGGCCCTGTGCTGAGGCGGGCTGCGTTGGCGAGGCGGAGGGGTGCGCCCCCTGAGGGAAGCGCCACCGGCGCTCGCCGCCCCCCGCGCTGCCGACAGCGTTGGCAGTCACGGCACTGGTCACTGCTGGACGCTGCCCATGCTGCTGGCAGTGTCTGCTGGTGGTCGCTGCCAGCACACCGCCGCCACCGCCTGCGGGAGCTCCCTGCTCCCCGCCACCACATCCCCACCACCGCCAGTGCCTGCAGGCCACCTGCTCCCCACCACACCACCCATACGCCCTCGTCACTGCCACCACCGCAGCAGCCACTTGCGAGAGCTCCCTGCTCGCCACCAACAGCCCCCGCCACTGCAGCCTGTGGGCGATCGCCTCGCCGTACCCCGCCAGCTTCTGGGGGGCACGCATCGCTCATGGGGTCCTGGATGGCCTGGACACTGCTTTTGTGTCGGGTCCAGTCAGGCCGAGAAGCAGTGTAGTGCACTGACTACTCTTGTCACGTCATTGTTGTCCAAACTTGCCATCTTTTTGCATGTGGGTGTATTATTCTCAGAGCAATCACCAGTTTTATTCAGCTTTATTCAGATGCTTTAGAATTGGGTAAATACATGGTTCCTTTTGCTCTTCCATACCACAAAATGGAGTCCAAGACGGAGCAGTAATGGAAGGTTTCTGTACTGTGGTTAAGCAAAACAGCGAAGGTTTGAGTTGTGTATGACCTTGAGTTCAGAATGACCTTGACGTCAATAGATCTTGAGTTGAGTATATGATCTTACTAAATCTGTGATTCTCAACCAGGGTGCCAGGACACCCAGGGGTGCTGCAAAATCTTAGGAAGGGTGCTGCAAGGTGTGAGGAGAAACACAGGCATGTGCAAGCTCAGGCTCTTCGCTGCCTGGCCAGTGCCCCACCCTCAGTGCTAGGCCCCTCTACAAGGAGTCAAGCACTGTAATCATTGTTAGTTCTTGAAATGGGTGCCACTCAATTCACACAAGTTGTGGAGGGGAGCCTTGAGTCTAGTGAGGGGTGCCTTCAGTCTGTTGGCCGTGCCTCACATCTAAAAAGCCTGAGACCTGCTGTACTAAACAATGAGTCTCATACAACGAAAACCTCTCATATTGACTTTATTTTTCAGTAGAATCTGGATTTATCCTGTGAATCATTTTTGCACACCCAGAAGTATGTGGCTCTCCAAAGCACCCTTGAAAGTATCTCAAGGCACCCTGGGGTGCCAGAGCACTGTGGTTCAGAATCATTACAATGGTAAAAAAACAACCATGCCGATTGGTAGGAGTTAGACCTGCCAAGTCCCATTTCTATTTCTGTGACTCACTCTTCAACACTCTCAAATATCTTAGGTCTTATGTTAGATTATGTGAACATTAATTTCTCAAAGTAATTTACAGTTTCAGTTAAAGTGTAAGGTGATGCACCTGGGGAGGAACAACCGGCACCATACATACAGGCTGGGGAACTCCCCTCTTGTCAGCACGGAGGTGGAAAAGGATCTGTGAGTCATTATTGACTCCAAGATGAACATGGGTCGGCAATGTGGGGAGGCAGCTAGGAAGGCCAGCTGCACCTTGTCGTGCATCCACAGATGCATCTCGAGCAGGTCCAAGGAGGTGATCCTCCCCCTCTATGCGGCACTGGTCAGGCCGCAGCTGGAGTACTGCGTCCAGTTCTGGGCGCCGCACTTTAAGAGGGATGTGGACAGCATCGAGAGGGTCCAGAGGAGGGCCACTCGTATGATCAAGGGACAGCAGGGTAGGTCCGATGAGGAAAGGTTGCGGGACCTGAACCTGTTCAGCCTTCAAAAGAGAAGGCTGAGGGGGGATCTTGTGGCCTGTTATAAACTGGTTAGGGGGGATCAGCAGGCGCTGGGGGAGTCCCTGTTCCCCCGAGCACCGCAAGGAGTGACCAGGAACAACGGTCACAAGCTGGCAGAGGGTAGGTTTAAGTTGGACATCAGGAGGCGCTACTTCACGGTCAGGGCGGCTAGGGTCTGGAACCAGCTTCCAAGTGAGGTAGTGCAGGCTCCCACCCAGGGGGTTTTTAAGAGGAAGTTGGATGACCACCTTGCTGGGGTCGTTTGACCCCAGTGCTCTTCCTGCCATGGCAGGGGGTCGGACTAGATGATCTACTCAGGTCCCTTCCGACCCTTGAAACTATGAAACTATTAATGTGCAATTATAGTGTGCTTCCCATGCAGCTAGTGCATTTCACACTTTGTAATGCATTCAAACAGATTGAGGCTCTTTGTTTAATAATAAACAGCTTACATTAATTTTTCAGTGACAGCTCTGATTTGGAGATCTTTAATGGCCATGGCAAGGCTCCAAAGCATCAGTCTTATTTGGGTGTTTCATTTTATAGTGATTTTGATATAGCAGGCACGTCTTCAAAAATACCGGATTTGACTGAGGTGCACTGCATTGTTCTACAATCTTACTGAGCATTTACATTGTGGATGTGCCTAGAATCAACCAGGTTGAGGTGCCAAATGTCATATAAACATATAGTAAATGACAACCACTGTCCCAGAGAGCTGACACTATATAAAACAGCAACAAAAATTCACAATTCTCCTTGGCTTTAGCATTTAATTTCCTGAGATAGCAACAAGTCTACTTCTGTCTTATGAGTCTGTTAACTTCTGTACTAATCCAGAATGCATTGGATTTTCAGAGTTCAATGTGTATAGTCAGTAGATGCATATCTTTTCTGATGAGAGGGAATGGCTTGCAGACTGGATCCAGTGCAAAACTGAAGGAAGTTTGATATTTTTGTGGGGGGCGCCTTTCAAAATGATGCAGGTACTGTACTCCTCAGTTGTTTTTACTGATATTCAAAGTAGTGTATCGGACACACTGAAGTGGGTAATAGTACTACTAAAGTCTTCTAGAGCATTTTGAACATGAAGACCCCTCCATATTTACCTTCTCTGGTAAATCATACTTATTTTAGTTTTTCACAAAGGGAAAAAGTGAGATGCAGAGAAGCAAACTGACAAGGCAGAGAAAGAGGTTGCATAGCACTTCTCAAGCACAGCCAGGAAGAAGATACAGAAAAGTTGGGGTCTAGTACAAAGCTATGAAGGTACTTCTTGTGTCATGAAGACCTTATGGATTTGGATAGGCTTTGAGGGGTGGGGACAACTACTTATTTGAGATACTAGAAATAAATGGTTTTTTCATGACTGTGAGTTGCATTAGATAGAAATGGTACTGCTAGATTAATTGTGTTTGTCCTTTTACACTTGTTTTTACTCACATCCTGATTTGGTAGCATTTTGCAGCACAAAAATCAGTCCCTATGCTTCCAAGTTACATTACCTGGGACCATTTTAGCAGGACTGTCCCAGCCCTTCATTGTTCTCTGGAAGATAAGCCGCACCTTTGTATGATAAGAGAGAGTTTTATGTTCTTGTCTGCCCTACACAAACAGCTCTGACAGCACCTGTAAGACTGGGATTTTTCTGTAATTGGGCTTCTTTTTCCCCCCAAAATGTCACTTTCTCCTCTTGCTGTCGTACATACTGAATATTTGGTATATACTGAATATGGCTTTACTGCTGCTTTCCAAATAAGACCTGGCTGCATCTCGGTATTGCTGTGTGTACTTAACTTTACGACTCTTTGAATGAAAGGCTCTGTATATATTCAAAGCATTCATAAAACTGTTCTTTGTTCACTTCTAATTCTGTAAGTACAAATTTAATTAATGACAGATACACAGAAAATAAATAAATGTATTGAGACTATTCTGCACAATTGACTGCCAACCCATGACAAACACTCAAGACTTGAATAAACTACCACATCTTATTTAGGAACACATAAAAATGCTCTATTTTCTACAATCAGGTTTCCTGTATTTGAAAACAATGTTGTATTGTAATTTATGAGTCCAATGAAAAATCTGAAGTGTAGTAATGATATCTGGAAAGTGAAAATTAATAGCATGGAGGAAAATTGGGTATGATTACAAGCTATGAATGCATCATTAGTTAAGTCTATCCATTGCCCTAATTAGTGCTCCAATACTTTGGCTCTGTGAGCTATAGAAAAACCCAAGATAGGATTGTTCAGATAAACAAAACATCATCTGTTCCTGGTAGAGGTTATGTCAAAAGTGGGCTGCTTAACAAGTTGGATACCCTTGCTGTAGTTTTTTGGATCCTGCTGCTTGGAGGATTGTGTGTGTTTGCTATACAATTTAATGAATGCTTTCCAGGGCCTAAGCAAGATTAGGAGTTGATTAAAAACCGGAGACTTTCCAATAGGCAATCCAGGATGCTTACTTCCTTTGTGATCTCAGGCATACATTAGAGTGCTTTGAACTCTTTGTCTCTCTACTCTGCCCATCTTTTACTTTTTTTGTGTAGCAGGGAAGGTATTGAAAGGGACAAGAAGCCTGTGTTCTGGTGCACTGTACAAGCCCTCTATTTAATTCCCTAGCCAATTAATGCATGTTTGTACATATCACATCCCATCTATGTTTCCAAATCAAAATAGACCTAATAGGCCCTATGTTAGGTCTACAAGCCCCAGCATTAGAGTTTTAAAATAAACTTAGCTTTGCCTCCTGTCAAAAAGCAGAAAAAGGATAAACATCTTAAACAGGCATTCAGGAGCTGACCCTAAAGAGTGGAATGCCCCCCTGAGCTGGCCCTGACTCCTGCTAAGAATTAATAGAGATTCACCTTGCCTATTAGTTGGAGTTGTACCTATGGCCTACATTTGACTGAGTTCCAGGATTCCCTCCAGAGGGTGTTGAAGGATGTGTACACACTACTGCAATGATGTACATGCAGTTTTGTGTCAGACTATACTCCCCCCTTTTTCCTAGAACAAGACTCAGTATGGTACAGTTCAGAAAGGCATTGGAACCCTATAACACTTAATATGCTTATCACTCAATACTTGGTGCAGAAATGTGTGTGTTCATATCAGCTTTTCTAAAACATATTTATGCAGACATGCAAATTGCCACTTCTGTTTGTTCTTCTAATTTTCACAGAACCATTTTTTTTACATTATATGGAAACAATGGAAAATGTTGCATTCAAGACAATACAGCAGGAGCGACAAATTCAACAGGCAGGTGACAGAGGATTGTCAGTAGTCTGAAGTTGTGATAAACGTACAGTACAATAGCACTCAAGATATGGGACCAAGCTTGCAGTTGTAATATTTGCACTTTCTACACATAAAAGCTTTCATCCACTCTGGTTAGTGTCACATGTTTTACAGTTTCCTACGTCAGTGGAATGGTTAAATATCTAGCTTTCTGTCTCTACCCAGGCTAGGATGCCCAACAGGTAGACTACAGTCTATGAGGAAACGAAAAGTGTTCAAGGATCTGATTTCAGCGTGGCTTGTTCTATCCAACAGGAAATAAATTTGTCTGTGAGCTCAATAAGGGTGAAATTAATCCGTTCCCACACACAGCCTGAGTAAACAGCATGACCACTCGTGATTTTATCAGGACTCTTGCTATATGAAGTGTTTTTCTTAAAGCTCCAGCTACTAGTTTCTGGTGAAGAGGATCTAGCACCTTCAAGGAAAATTAGAATATAAAACACATTAAAAAAAACAAAAGCAGAGGATTTTTTAAGTGTGCTGTAGCCTATCTTCCAAAATAAAATATTAATATATTAACTTTTTTAATATACAGGAATACTGAAATGGATGTACTAGTTGCCAACTAAGGCAGTAGCCTGGCTGACAGCAGCTGGGGCGGTATACTTCAGAGAAAGCCCCTGGTGGATGATTGTGGAATAACCTGCCTGGTGGGGGAGAGGTAGTTAGCCGTGTTAGCCAGAAGTTAGGTAGATGGCAGAGCACCGTGGTGTCTTCAAGACTACTTGGCTCAGCAAGGCATGAGATTTCATATGCTACAGTCTATTTTGTCAGATGCATCTGATGAAGTAGGCCATAGTCTAAGAAAGCTCATGCTGCTCTGAATGAGTTAGTCTATAAGGTGCCACCCTACCTTGCCTTCTGCCCAACTTCAGACTAATACAGTTAACTGCCTCTCTCTAAGCCCTTTTCAATTATCTGTTGATTTATGTCCTGAAGGATGGACGTTTACTCTCACTTCTAAATGTAGTTATCCTAACACAAGCATGCATCTTCTCGGCATCCATAGAAATGTTTAGTTTAAAAACTAAACCATACAAATCTATTCTGTTGTTTTTCACTTGTTACAGTGAGACATAGCATAACATCTGGAAGTGTTAAAATCCATAATTGTTGTCTTGGTACAAGATAATGAACAGCCACTTTTCTGATGCTGGAAATCTAGACTTGGACTGTGATATTCTTGCAGCATCTTTACTTCCTAAACATTAGTAACATGCATGTTAATACTGTTGGTGTTTGTGTGATGAATATATTCCTTGTTGTGGTTGCTTTATATGCCAGGAATTCCAGATTATTCTGGTTTGAAAGATTGTTAAGAGAAATCTGGGTTTTTTCTCTGGCTGTGATGGACTTTGTAGCATGGATTGGTTATTTAATGATGAATCTCTTTCTGATGATTCCTAGTAGCACCTATTTATCTGTTCTCAATCCTGCAAGGATTAACATATTTACCTAACTGCAAAATGGGTGTGGTCATCAATTATTAAAAAGTCTTGCTGCAACTCTGGATCATAAATTTGATTGCTGCCCCAGATTCCTGCCCAAGTCTGCCCCTTGTCTGTACTTACTTGACCATTTGGGCTGGGGTGTCAATAGTGAGATGTGATGCTGGTCCCATCATCCCTTTTCCCTTTGTGTGATGTTGTGTGGCCTCCCTTAACCATGCCGACCCAGAGGGCTGCTAGGCTCAGACAGACCTTTGGTCTTTTTGAATGTTAAGGATTGAGCAGTCTTTCTTAAAGGCCAGAATGTGCCTAAATCTTTTTAATATTGGTATCTTAACGCAACTATGGGAAAATATATATTTTGATATAGAGTGAACATCTAGAACGCTCACCATCTGCAATGTATTTATATTACGTTCCTGTGAGACAGAGATGTTTCATTGCTCCAATTTATGTATATGAAAATGGACAGAAGGATCAAGTGAGTTCCCAAGGTTATACCAGCAAATTGTAGTGGATACAGTAACTGAACCTGGCTCTTTTGAGTCCTGGACCAATATATTCCTCCAGGACAATGATTTATCTTTCCACGTATACCATGATGTATTAGGTCCTGGTGTTTCTGAGGAGAGTTCCACCAAGGCCTAGGAAGGGTTTTTTTGTGATGTGTTGCATGTTTTGCATTATATTTTAATATTTAAATATGGTTATTAAGGTTTAACCACATGATTGTGAATGCAGAGGGGCTTCACCTTAGTCTCTAGGAATGACTGTCTTCTTTTGGTGAGAAGAGATGAGAAACAGCATGGAGATAATGGATGGCAACTAATTCTCTAGTGTAAGCCTGTGCACAGCTTGTGGCCTGCTTGAGTGACTCGCACTCTTTTCTACATTCTTTAGATACAGTTTGGATTTTGTTTTTATTTTAGCAAAGGTTAAACATTTTATTAAGGTGTCAGCTCAGAGATGTGTAATGCTTCAGTCTACAACAATGTGGAAATCTGGGAACTAATCCAAAATGACCACCTCCACCTCCAAACTGGTGGCAGATATCAACATTTGATCACTATTACTTTGGGTTAGATTAAAGCTAGTGTCCTACATGTGAAAGGCACTAGATGCCATTACTAACTAGAATCAGATAGTTCCCTCCCCCCTCCAAGTAAATCTTTGTCTTCATAGGTTTGAATAACTCTATTACATCAAGTGCTTATTTCAGACCATATGTTATAGACATATTTTACTTCCCTTTTTACACAAAATAATTTTTTACCCTTGCTCATGTGAAGCACCACAATCTGTCCCATCCACTCTGCAATGGCTATGGACCTTGATCTTGCAACATTTCTGTGTAGTATTGCTTGTGTGCTTGTATGGAGATCGTGCTCGACTTTGGGGGCACAGCAATCCACCCACACACAGCAAGCGGGAAGGACAAGGATCAAACTCTCCTCTTAGGGTGTGTAATAGTGGAATGAATGGAAATTAAACACAGGTAAGAAGTGAATGACTAAACAAATGTCCATGTCCATTTATTACAAGGTCCTTATGAACTTTTTGCCATAATCATTGCCAATGTTTATGGGACAGAATAGCCAGTTGATCCTTTTATTCCCTTAGTCCAAATTCTGTAAGCAAACCTTCTTGATGTTGTATAATGCAAGATGTGTCAAGACGTATTTGTCCTACATCCTTGTTAAACATTATGTGGACAAACCCAAAGATGGAAGACTTTGTATATTTACTATAAGGAAAGAGACTAGATTTGTAGTTTTAAAAAGTGATGCAGCCCCTAATAGCTCTAAAGTATAAATATACCGCGGTTCAGTCATTGTGCTGAGCTGTCGTCTGTTAGCCTAGGTGAAATGATAACGTCAGGATAGTAAGTGTTCAAGTACATTTGTTAAAAGGGTATTTTATTCTAGAAAATATATTTTTAAACTGGGAAGAATTAAAAATAATAGGGGCTACTACAACAGGGGTGGTCAGAGAAAGGCATATTCGTATGGTCTAATTTAAATGTCCATGACAGCCTGGAGTGATTCACAAGCTGGGCTCCAGGACCTCGGGGCAGCTCCGGGCTGGAAAACACAACCCCACGGAAAGACAGGAGTGCGGCTCTTTACAGCAGCCCCGCGAGCAAGTTCCTGCCCGTCCAGCACCAGCCTCCCCACGCCGCCTGCACGGATCAGATCACCCCTGGGCGACCAGGAAGGGAAGGGTAGGGTGTTGCTGCAGACCGGAGGTGCGATTTTCTTGCCGAGATCTAGCCGGTCTAACACAAGATCTCCCCTCCACGCAGAGATCTCCTCACCCCTTATGCCCGCGGACCAGCAGGGCTGCAACCTGCGTGCCCTGCACTTCCCTGGAGGGTGCACGCTCGGCCAGCCGGACCCGCGTGCGCTCCCATGCACCCCACGCGTGCTCGCACCCGCAGGCTCCTCCTGGGCGCACGTGTGCACGGACACGTCTGCGGCGCCCGTGTCCATGCGGGAGGCGGCGCCGCGCACGTCCGTGCCTGCCTCCCCCGTGCAGCCGCGGGGCCGTGCCCCGGGGGGATGCCGCTGGGACCCGGCTGCCTCCAGCCCCTGACACGCCAGCTCTCCCCCGTAGCAAACAGCTCAGCGCCTGCGTGCAAATGCCTGCTGCACACTCGTGACCTAACAACAACACACACCGATGTGAGCAGCCAGGCAGCGGCGGCGGCAGCAGCGATCCGGCCGCCTCCCCGAGCAGTGTTTACGTCCCGGGCAGGATGACGCCTGCGCCCCGGTCCACACTCCCCGCCTGAAAATGGTTCCCTAGGACTTCGCAAAACGC